CTACACTCCTACCTTGACTTCCCTGCAGGGAGGGCTCGTAACCTGGAACTGTGGGCTAAAGTAAATCCGTCTCCCCCAAGCTGCTTTTGTCATTTCCTCCCAACGGAAGAGAAACTAGAACAAAGTTCCCAACTCCTGGACTCCATCTGCTCCTTCCTCTTCCACCCCATACCCCATGGCCCCAGTCTCTGCTCTCTTTGCCTTCCTGTCTGTTCATCCCCTGGGTGTTGTGGGGAGGAGGCTCTCGGAGCTTCTTAGTGTGCAGGGAACCTGGAACCCATCAGATGGTGTGGTGGTGCATACCTTTACTTCCAGGACTTGGGAGGCTGAGGCAGGAAGATCTCTGAGTTCAAGGCCAGCCTGGTCTATAGAGTGAGTTCCTGGAGGGCCGGGGCCACACACACACACACACACACACACACATACACACACACACACACACACACACACACACACACACACAAAAGCTCTGTCTCAAAAAAACACAAAAAACATGAAAGGCAAAAACCACTGCACTTTAAGCATGTGTAATTCCGTGACTTTAGTAAAGGAACAGAGCTGTGTAACTATTACCCAGAACCTCCAAGGAAGACTGAGTCCTAGGAACAGTCTCTCTTTTCTCTTTCCTTCCTCTAGGCAACTGCAAATCTTTCTGTTGCTAGGGACCTGCCTGTTGTGAACTCATGGTTGAAGAGAATCACGCCGTGCAGACTTCCGAGTCTGGCTGCTGCCGCTTTTATAATTTTACCTTCTGTGCACGAGTCTTTTGGCTGCACAAATGGCAGTGTACCACACGGTACCCAGGGAATCCGGAAGAGGGAGTCAGCTCCCCTGGAACTGTAGTTACTGATGGCTGTCAATCACCATGTGGATGTTGGGAATGGAACCCAGGTCCTTTGGAAGAACATAAGTACTGTGCCATCTCTCCAGTCCTGTGTCTGGATTTTCTTTCTTTTTCTTTCTTTTCCCCACTCAACATCTCAGGTTTTAGGGATTTTTGTTTTTGTGGTATGTGTGTGTGTGTGCGCGTGTGTGTGTGCACGTGTGTGTGTGCACGTGCACGTGTGTAGGTGTGTGTTTATATGTGTCTAGGTGCGTGCAAACATGTGCATGAATGTAGACACTAAACAACAACCTCAGCTGTCACTTCAAATGCTTGTTTGCTTTTGAGAGACCGTTTCTCATTGGCCTGATTTTGCCTCAAGTAGCACAGGCTGCCGGTCTAGTGAGAGACAGGAATTCACCTGCCTCTCCTTTCCCAGAGCTGGGATTTCAAGTGTGTACACCATACTTGTCTTTTGTTGTGTTGAGACAGGGTTGTACTACTATGTAGCTCTGGCTGGCCTAGAACTCACTACGTGAACTAGGCTGGCCTTGAACTCACAGAGCTCTGCCTGCCTCTGCCTCCCAAGTGCTTGGGTTAAAGTGCTTGTTGACTACCATAGCTGGCTTGCTCGTGAATGTACGGTGAACGCTTTATTATTGGAGCCGTCTCTTCTGCCTGGAATCATGGAGATTTGTTTGATTTTTTTTTTTTTTTAGCTTTTAGTTTTAAATAATTAGCCTCTGTTTTTCATGGGTACTTTGGTGTGTATACATCTTGCATGCTTGGTTTCCATAGGAGTCAGAAGAGGATAGCAGGTTCCCAGAATCAAACCAGGGTCACCTACAAAATCAAGTGCTCTTAACCTCTGAGCCATCTCTCCAGTCCCTGGTTTTGGTATTTGTTTGTTCGTTTGTTTGATTGACTTTGCAGGTTCTCATGATGTGTCCCCGGTTGATCTGGAACTTTCTATGTAGATGAGATTGGCCCTGAACTCAGAGATAGGCCTGCCTCTGCCTTCCCAGTGATTCGATTACCAGGACACCACTGTACAGGCTTCTTGGTTTTGCTTTTTGGTACACTGTCTTATTATATAGCCCAGGTCTGGACTTGGTCTGGGACTTGCTATGTATCCCAGAGGCTCTCAGCTCACAGTGCTCCTGCCTCAGCCTCCATGTGGGATTGTAGTAATGGCCCAGGGTTATAGGGGAAGGGTCAAGGAAGCTTCAACTCCAGATAACTCAGATGAAGATGGCAGGAGCTGGCTACCTCCCCCTCCCAAACCTGGCACCACAAAGCCGGCTTCCCTCATCACTAACCCTGGCAGGGATTTAGTCACTTCTTGGTTGACCTTATAAGATCTTCCCCCACTACAGCCCCCTAGTAGGCAGATGAAGTATCTTCTGACACCCTCACAGGCCACAAGCTACCTACAGCCAGTTAAGGTTCTCTCCTTCCAGCCCAGCTCGGTGTACAATGGGCCTGACTGGAGGTGGGAGATTGGGGGAGACTGGACTGAATGGACACACACACACACACACACACACACACACACACACACACACGGTGGCACCTCCAGTATGCTGGGATTGGAGGCATGTCCCCAGCAGCCATCATGCTTGAGGCTTTATCTGTGCCCTAGTGAGGAGCAGCTGCTTTGGGTGAGTATCACCCTTGGTGTGGGTTAGTCACCCTTTCTTGTTCTGCGTATCTGTTGCCAGAAGTTGGTCACGGCTGCGTTTTGGGTGTTATGATCTCTCTGCCCTAGAGAGATATGTTGGTGCATCCTGCCGCTGCCCCTGTGTCGTGCACAGGGTGCAGGCACTGTCATCAACTGCCTTCAGAAGCCCAGTGACCACTCAGCAGGACTACTTCCATCTTATAGCAGGAGACACGGAGCCAGCTGCTCTCCTACCAGCCCCCTGTCTGTCTCCTAGCACCATCCTCCCTGCACTAGCGCCTTTGCTCTTTTAGAGACTGTGCAAACCAGGAAGTGGAGCACAGCCAACTTGGGAACACAAATATTTGCCAGTCAAGAAAACACTCCCCTGTCAATCAAAACCCAGACAAGCTGGCACACATAGTCTGTAGGAGCGGGAGGCAGCTTCTGTTTTGGCATGGTCCAGGTGGCTGATGGCTTCTCCTCTGAATGTGTCTCAAGCTTCTTCCCTCCATCCTCAAAAGAAGATGAAGAAACTGAGGCTCGAGGTAGTCACTCAGAATCCAGTGACCTTTGACTTGTTTCTTTTGAGAATATATTTGTGTGGATTTATAACCCCATGAAGGGGACACAGGGTTTGCAAGAGATGATTTCTGACACAGATAAGCAGCAGGCAGGTTACCAGGCTATGGGGTGGGTGGAGCCTGAGCACAGGTTTATTACAGCGTGTCCAGGGTCCCTGCAGGAAACAGAGTACAGCTCAGTCAGGAGCCCTAGCTGAGATGGAGCAAATTTTCTGCCTGGCTACAGAAAACCCAGACGGCACATCCTTTATGTGTGTGTGTGTGTGTGTGTGTTTGAACTCAGATGTCTTAGTTTTCTATTGCCATGGTAAGACTCTGTGAACAAAGCCAATTATAAAGGAAAGCATTTAATTTAGGGTTCACGGTTCCACAGGGTTAGAGTCCCTGACCATTACGGAGGGGAGCGTGGCAGCAGGCAGGCACTGAAGCAGTAGCTGAGAGAGCTTACATCCAATCCACAAGCCTGAGGCAAAGAGAAAACAAACTGGGAACGGTATGGGCCTTTGCAACCTCAAAGCCCATCCTCAATGACACACCTCCTCCAACAAGGCCACACCTCCTAATCCTTCCCAAACAGTTCCACCAACTGGGGACCAAGGATTCAAAGACATGAGCCTTTGGGGGCCATTCTCATTCAAACCACTGTAGCAGGGCTGTGCACATGGGGCGGGGTGGGGGGGAGGAACACGTCTATCATAGAGTATACCCCTACCCTTGTGTATTTTTATTTTTTGAGATAGCAAATGCTGAGTGACTCAGACTGTCCCCAACTGGCCATCTTTCTGCTTCCACCTCTGGAATACTAAGATTACACCTCACCTCAGATCCTAATGGTGAGGGGTTTCAAACTCAGACCCAGCCTCTCTTACCCTTACCAGCTATAGATTAACTACTCCTCCCTGGGAGCTACCCTGGTCTGCTGGCACTCTGCCGGAATCACCCTAATTATAGCGCCTATATTCAGCTGTGCTCACCAGACTCCTGATTCAAAATTCCCCCACGGGGCCACATTAATGCAGGGATTCAAGGGCTGTTGGCTCACCAAGGCCCTCTGTACAGAAGGCTTGAGGGCATCAGGTTCCAGGGTATAGCTCAGTGGAAGAGGTGTGCTTATCATCTTTTGAGGATTGGGCTCCATCTGCACAACTGCAATAAAATACCAATAATAATAAAGGAATGAAACGTGTGCAAACTTGTCCCTGTGGTCTCACCTGACGTTTGCCAAAGTTCTTATTCTGGGCTCTGTCTCGAAGGATCTGTATGGAGCAGATAGGAGAGGCGCATTTTCATTGCTTTTTAACCATCTGTAGAAAAGGCAAAGACTGTAAAATTAAAGGGAAGACCCTTTCCTCAGGATGGCGTCTGTGTGGACCGGCCAGTCAAGTCCGGGGACCCGGAGCTGAGTTTGAGATTAAGGAGCAAGTAGCTGTAGGTCCTTGGCCTCCCGCGGGCGGACATTGAAAGGGGGCGGGCACAGGAGGGGCGCGGCCGAATGATAGAGGGGCGGGGCAAGAGGCGGGGTCGTACAGATCCAGAGGACGTAGGGGAGGGGCCGGAGAGTGGTAGGCGGGCAAGAGGCGGAAAGGAGACAGAGCCGGAGACCAATGAAAATAAAGGAACGGGCCAGAGGCGGGGCCTGGAGAAGGTAGTGACGCACAGGGGCGGGGCCGTGAGGAGAATAGCTGTAACTCCCTTGACAGCTGAACTAGGATTCGGGAAGCGTGGAGCTCACGTACAGGAAAGGGCATCGGTAGGCCATAGAAGGGCGGGGCCGGTGTCTAACCCCGCTCTGACCGACTGACCAATCCGCGGGCTCGTACTAGCTGTGAATTGGAGGCTGCGAAGAGAGCAACGTGTCTATAGGGCCGCCGCAGGCCGTCTTCCGGTCGGGGGGCGGGCCCCGCGCGGTGGCGGGAAAGAAGCGGCTGACGCGCGGCCTCTGGGACGCGGAGGGGCGGTGACGGACCTGGGACGTCTACCCTTCATCATGGACGCGGCCGAGGTGGAGTTTTTGGCCGAGAAGGAGCTGGTGACTATCATCCCGAACTTCAGTCTGGACAAGATCTACCTGATCGGGGTGAGCCGGGGCGGTACGGGGCTGCGGCCCGGGGTCATGCTCGGGTCACCGCTGCTTTCCAAACCTGGGGTCTCCGTTGTCCTTGCAGGGGGACCTGGGACCGTTCAACCCCGGCTTACCCGTGGACGTGCCCCTGTGGCTGGCCATTAACCTGAAACAGAGACAGAAGTGCCGTCTGCTACCTCCAGAGTGGATGGATGTGGGTGAGCATTCCTGGGTCCGGGTGGGCGGGCTTGTACCTGGACTTCGGTCCCAGGTTCCCGGACAGCGGACACCGACGTCGGTAGCTGTTCTAGCAGCTTGCTGGTGTATAGTGTGTGTGATACACACTATTTGGATTTTAGGGTTTTTTTTTTGTTTTTTTCAGAGCCGAGGACTGAACCCAGGGCCTTGCGCTTCCTAGGCAAGTGCTCTACCACTGAGCTAAATCCCCAACCCCTGGATTTTAGATTTTTAACCACGGTTATCCTCTGACTTACCTATACACTCGAGTACACACAATAATAATAGATTTTAAGAATAGAGCAGAGCGGAGAGGGTGCTGTAGTGATGGCACACGCCTTTAGTCCCAGCACTCAGGAGGCAGACACAGGATGATCTCTGAGTTTGAGGTCAACTTGGTCTACAGAGGGAGTTGTAGGACAGCCAGGACTACACAGAGAAACTCTGGCTGGGGCTGGGGCTGGGGCTGGGGTGGGGGGTGTGAGGAGCAGAGATCCAACCTTAAACAAGCATTTTTGTTTTTCTTAGGGTTTTTTTTTTTTTTTAAACTGATCAGCTAGCATGTTGGGAATTCTGTTACAAAGACTGTGAAAATAGCTAGTCTCTATGCTGGTTAGTTTTGTCAGATTGACACAAAGACAACTCACTTGGGAAGAGGGAATGACAACTGAGAAATTGCCCCTATTAGGCTGGCCTGTGAGCACGTCTGTGGGGGGGGGGGTATTCTCTTGGCTAATAAATGATATTGGGAGGGCCCAGCCCGCTGTGGGTGGTACCACCCTTTGACAGGTGGTGTCCAGTCTAAGAAGACAGGCAAGCCAGAGGCAGCCTTACTCTCTGGTTCCTGTCTCGGTTCCTGTTTGAGCTTCTGCCTTCACGTCCATCCATGGTGGGTTGTGATCAGGCCAGATAGATCCTTAACTCCCCAAGTTGGGGTCACGGTGTTTTTTCATAGCAACTGAAAAGCAAATAAGGACAGCCACCCTACAATGGAACATTATTCAGAAGGAATGGTCCTCTGATACATGCTACGAGGTGGATGAGCCTTGAAAATAACCTTTATAAAGCCAGGCACAAAAGACTAGAGATTGTGTGACCCTCTCAGAAATAGGCAGAACCATCGGCACGGAATAGTGGCTTAGGTAGTGGGGCTTAGGAAGTAATGGAGGGATTATGTTTTTAGGAAGGAGAGAGGATGAAAATCAGAAATTGAGTTGATGGTTGCCCGTCTCTTTGTTAAAAGCCCTTTGTGCAGTTTGAGTTGGAAGTGTGTGCAGACAGGCTTTCTCCTGACCTGTACAGTCCTTAATTTTTGTGGGGGAGGGGTATATGCATCATGTAGACTCTTGACAACCCCCCTGTGAGTTCAGCTGGAGTCACCTGAGAAGACCTAGAAGCAAAGGCTCAGACACAAGCTGACTTGTTAACTTGACACACTTGGGAACAGAGCCCCTCTGCTGAGAAATTGTCTCCATTAGATTGGCCTGTGGGTGTGTTTGTGGGCCATTTTCTTGATTGTTAATTGATAAATGTAGGATGGTCTAGCCTGCTGTGGGCCATGCAGCTCACCTGGGCAGGTAGTCCTGGGCAGTATAAGAAAACAAGCTAAGCAGGCCAAGAAGCAGCCTTCCCCTGTGGCTGCTGCCTGAGGCCCTGCCCAGACTTCCTTCGATGGTGGACTTTGACCAGTAAGCCAAACAAGCCTTTTCATTCCCAAATTGTTTTTTGGTCACCGTGTTGATCTTAGCAGAGGAAAGCAAGCTAGGACAGGCTATTTAAGCCAGTCACTCTCAGACTAGTTAGAGATGTGCTTGAACTTGGGTGGGTGACTCTGATAGTCTTGAAACTGGGACCCCACTTCCTGTGCCTTGAGGGGCATCTTGAGCCCCCCAGCCCCCAAAGCCTGGCTCCATTTACCAGTTTCATCCAGCCAAGGTTAGAGAGAAGGTGTTCAGAGTTCTGTGCTCTCTCTGACAGAGAGGAGCAGTCAGGGGTGCAGGAGGCCTGTCTGTCCTGGCATCTCAGGTCAACAATGCTGTCATGTGCCGTGCGGCTCTGTCTTTTCCTGTAAATGTGTGGTTTCTAGTTGGCCCTGTGGTCACGTGGTCATCACCTTGTTCTCCTAGGTTTTCTCTTTCATGAGTATTCTGCATCTACTTACCCATCCTGAGAGTGGGTATTTGGGTTAGTTCCCATTTTTAAGTATTTGTTCATTTTGTACGGACGGGTGTTGTATGTATGCATGCATGTGGTGTATGTGCATGCGGTGCCTTCAGAGGCTAGAAGATGCTGTCCGATCCCCTGGAACCGGGGTTACAGGTAGGTAGGAGCTGCCACATGAGTGCTGAGACTCAAATCCAGGCCCTCTGACAGAGAGGCAAGTGCTCTTAACTGCTGAGCCATCTCTCCAGCCCCCTATTTCCCAGTCGGTTTTTTTTTTTTTGTTTTGGTTTGGTTTGGTTTGGTTTTGGTTTTTCAAGACAGAGTTTCTCTGTGTAGCCCTGGCTGTCCTGGAACTCACTCTGTAGACCAGGCTGGCCTCGAACTCCGCCTGCCTCTGCCTCCCAAGTGCTGGGATTAAAGGCGTGTGCCACTACCGCCCGGCACCTATTTCCCAGTCTTAAAAGTCATTGTTGTGTTCGTGTGTGTCTGCACATGTGCCGTGGTGCCCGTGTGAGCAGAGGACAGCTTGTTGAGGAGCGGGTTCTGGCCTTCACCAGGCTTGGTGACAGGCACCTTATCTACAAAGCCATCTCTCCGGTCTCCGGGTCACTTCTCATTTTGTACTATTTGAATAAGATTGTTAGGATTTCCTTGTCTGAGTCTTTCTGTAGATAGGTGTTTCTCTTTGGTTTGTTGACACAGGGCCTCGTGTCGCCCAGGTTGCTTCTTTCTGCTGTGTAGCTGAACTGGGTTTGAACTGATGATCCTCCTGCCTCCACCATCCCTTTTGCTGGGTTACGGGTATCTGCGCTATGCCACCTGTACTTCTGTTTTCTTAGGTAAACAGATACCTCCTGTGCAGACATTTTGAGCTAGAGGACTGATGATTCTTAAGTTATAAGCTGCTGCCAGGCCGTCCTGCTGAGTGTTGAAGCATCAGAATTCCACAGAACTGCAGATGAGATCACACTGTCCCACATCCTGGCCAGAGGTTTGGCCTTGCCAGTCTTTCTCATTGGTGGAGACAATGAACAGATGTGTTCTGTGATCTGATTCAAATGGTAGAAAAGAAAATAACCCGTGCAGGGGCCCAGTTCAGTGCTAGACCTCCTCCCCAGGGTGAGGGGCTGGACCTCATCCCCAGCGTGAGGGGCTATAGGAGTAGCAAAGCTTTTGCAGACATGGGGGAGGCTGCTTGCGGCTGGTCTGCGTGTGCTTACAAGGGAGCAGTAGGAGCTGTTCCTGAAGGTCTGTGTGGAGGAGGAGAAGGAGCAGCAGCAGCAGCAGCTGCTGCAGCTAAGGCTCATGCCCAGCTGTGGCCAGACGCTCAACTCTTTCTTGGATAGAGTCACTCTTTTCTGAGGTTTGCAGAGCACAGGACAGCAAGATGGCCCAGGGTATGGTTGGAGCCCACCTTCTTTTTTTTTGTTTGTTTGTTTGGTTTTTCGAGACAGGGTTTCTCTGTGTAGCCCTGGCTGTCCTGGAACTCACTCTGTAGACCAGGCTAGCCTCGAACTCTTGAACTTAGAAATCCACCTGCCTCTGCCTCCCAAGTGCTGGGATTAAAGGAGTGCGCCACCACTGCCCGGCTGGAGCCCGCCTTCTTGAGGATGCCGGATAGGTGTCCCGGTGGAAGTCGTGGACAGTGGGCACAGTCAGGAGTTGGTGTGTTGGATCTGCAGTTAGGCAGGATGAGAGGGTGGAGTGTACGCCTGGGGTATGGGGAGACTCACCTTCAGAGCTCTGGACCTCAGCCCTGAAAGGTCACGGAGAATTGGCTTCGGGGATGAGTAGAGGGCAGTTAGGTCAGAAGAAAGTACGTAGGTTGTGGTGGCAGCTCTTCCTGAGACGTGTTTGCAAGGCTTTGAGCCACCTCGTCCATGACACAAATGCCCCATACTGTTTTTAATGCAACGCACATGCTTATTGGCCCTGTGGGCAGTACCAGCACCTGGTCAAATTGTAGGATTAAAAACTCTCATTCAGGAGGGGTACATGCCTTTAATCTCAGCACTCTGGAGGTGGATTTCTGAGGTCAAGCCCAGGACAGCCAAGGGATACGCAGAGAAACTATGTCTTGAAAAACGAAAGCAATTCAACGAAGTGTTTTTTCTTTGTTTTGGTGATGGTGAAACATACTGACCTCTGTGTTTCAGAGAAATTGGAGCAGATGCGGGACGAGGAGCGGAAAGAGGAGACATTCACCCCAGTGCCCAGCCCACACTACATGGAGATCACGAAGCTCCTGCTGAATCAGTGAGTCAGACAGTGTATACCCTCCGAGTCTCCTCCTCCTCCCTGCCCATTCCATGGGGGCTCAGACACCCCGTTTCTCATACAGGTCACCTGGACGTGTCTGCAGGGTGGCCAGGCCATCTCCGTTCTCTTCTGTTCCTTCTCTCTACTTTGAGCTTGCACTCCAGGCCTGTCACTTGTCGCTGGGTCGTAGTGTGGCCCCTGACAATCTAGCAGCAGCCTTTTCTCCAGGTTCACGAGCTTCTTTTAATCTTGCTTTCCCTGAATGTGTGTGATTTGGGTTCCCTGTGTGTCACAGGAGTGGTCAAGGGTGTCGTGTGGGCGTTAGTTCTGAGCCATAGAGAGAAATGTGCGTGGCAAGCCCTGGGTTTGAGCATCCAGATCTGTCCTAACTTTCTGGCTTATTCTCCAGGTGGTGGCCAGGCGCCTGGTGCTGCCCTGTCTGTAGCCCTTAGCCTTTCTAGCTTCAGTCTAAGTGGGGGTGCTCACAGCAGGTGCCCCGCCCATCTCTCATGCTCTCCTTTGCTCTCAGTCTGGATTTCTATGATCCAGTGGTCTGTCTGTTGTACAACAGGTTGGTTGGTTGGTTTGATGTGGGGTCTTGCTATGGTCCTGAACTCTGGGCTTTAGTGGTCCTCTTGCTTCAGGTCTTTCCTCCTGGCCTAGGGTCTGCAGAGCTCTGCTCTGGCATTTACCACAGGGCAGTTTTGTAGTCTTCCATGTGCTGTGGCACTGTGCCCACTATAGTAGATGGGCAGGGGCTGTCTCCAGTGCGAAAGCAGATGCTCACACCTAACTACTTAGCATCTGGCTGGACACTGCTCTCTGCACCAAGGCCAGAACTGTGCTGCTCACTTAGAGCAGCTGGACAGTAGGACCTATGTCCCTGCTCCTTCCAAGAGCGGAGCTCCTCAAGTACTCCTGGAGAGATGGGAGGCCGTAGGGCAGCTGTAAACATGATCATGTAGGCCCGAGTTCCCATTTGGGTGAGAATAATGTGACCCTGTGAACTGGTCATTAAACCGCCACAGTCAGTGCCCTTGGGAGTCCATAGGACACAGCAAGGCCTGATGGGGCCAGAGAAGGTGTGTAGGGAACACAAGGTTGGGCAGGACAGCAGAATGTTCCTGAGAGCAGAGAGAGCAGTGGTAGGAGGAGCTGTAAGGCTCCGTGTGCCTGAGGGGTTGGGGATTGATGTGGGCACATGATGGGCCATGGGCTCTGTGTTTATGGGGAGGCCCAGGGAACTGAGAGAGACTGGCAAAGTGGGGGGACAGTGCTGGGAAAGGAGAGGATCCTGATGCATGACTGAGAACCAGGCTGTTGCTGCCAGTACAGGACTGTCTGACGAGTGTGTACTAGGCACTCTACCAAGAACCTTATGTCTTCGGGAGTGGTAGCATACTTTTCATCCCAGCACTGGGAGGGGGTGAAAGATAGGGACAGATGGGTCGCTGAGTTCCAGTTTGGTCTACTTTAGGGGTTCCAGGCCACCTTGGGCTATATAGTAAGACCCTGTCTTTTTTGTTTTGCCTACCTGTGTGAGGGAGTCGGATCCCCTAGAACTAGGAGTTACAGGCAATGGTGAGCCACCATGTTGGTGCTGGGAATTGAACTCAGGACCTCTGGAAGAGCAGCCAGTGCTCTTAACCACTGAGCCATCTCTCCAGCCCTGAAGACCCTGTCAAAAATCAAAGCAAAACCTTACTGTGTAATTTATCTGACTGAGGAACCCAATTAAAATTTTTTTAGCCAGCTGGTGGTAGTACGAACTGTTAATCCCAGGCAGAGGCAGGGGTCACTGAGTTGGAGGCCAGTATGGTGTATGATGCAAGTTCCAGGACAACTAGGGCTACACAGAGAAGCCCTGTCTGAAAAAAACACAATTTTAAACTGTTTTTTGGCATACATGTGTTGGGATGACGTGCACATGGAGGTCCGAGGACAGCTTTCAGGAGTTGGCTCTGTCCTAGCATGTAACTCCTGAGACTGGATTTAGGTTGTCAGGTTTAGTCACAAACCCCTGCACATGCTGAGCTGTCTCACCGGTCCAGGGACCCAGTTCGCCTTTGTTCTGTAGTTCACTTGACGAAGATCTGGAGTTCTTTGTTCTCAATTGTTCTGTTCAAAGCCGAAGATCTAAATGCTTGTGTTCAGAATTGAGTTCAGTGCACACATTCTGTTCTAAGGTCTGCCTAGACTCCTGAGCTGGCTGGCTCCAGAGGCTCTAGACCAGCCCAGAGGCCACCCCTGTCTCGTGTGAATGTCTTCAAAGGGTGGCTTCACGTATGTCCTGAAGGAAAGTTGTCACTAACTGCTGACCGTAAGCTCTGTAGACACGGGCCGCTTTGAGATTTTGCTCTGCTCTGTGGTTTTGAACTTCCTCCTCGCAGTGGCAGTCCTGTCTCCCAGCCTTCTGTGAGACTAGAAATACCACTTAAAGGGCTTAGCACGGAGCTTGCCCTCTTCCTGGTGGTGATGGGTAGTAAGCCTGTGTCACTGGTAAAAACCAGGGATCTGCTGAGCTGAGGCAGCCTCAACACCAACTTGAGATAAAGTTACACAACACAGGTTGTGTCATCCTGAAGCGAGTGTCCCAACTGTCCAGTTTTTCATTTAAAGATACAGTCTTATTCCTTTTTAATTACATGTGTGTGTGTGTCTGTGTGGCTATGTGTGTGTAAGTGCAGTGCCCAAGGAAACAAGAGGGTATGGGATCTCCTGGAACTGGAGTTCCAGGCGCTTGTAAGCTGCCCCATGTAGGTTTCTGGGAACTGATTTGGGTCTTTGAAGGAGCAGTATATGCTCTTAACTGCTGAGCTGTCTCCAGCCCCTCCAGTGTGTTACTGTTTACGAGACGTACACTATACTGCGTGTCCAGTCCTGTTTACGAGAGGCACACTATACTGCGTGTCCAGTCCTGTTTACGAGAGGCACACTATACTGCGTGTCCAGTCTTGTTTACGAGAGGCACACTATACTGCGTGTCCAGGTGCTCACCTGTCTCAGCTGGGATGAGTTTCCACTTCTAGCTTTCAGTATGTCACTGTCCACTCTGTCATTCCGTGTGGCCACTGGCCATGGCTGCCAAGCTGACCTGCTGACATCCCAACCCCCAAGGAGAGAACAGAGCCCCCATATTCTCTCAAGTCTGTGCCAAGCTCCCTGACCCCTTTCAAACAGGGTCTCTATACATCCAGCCTTGAGCTTCTGGTTCTCCTGGCTTCAGCCTTGTGAGTACTGGGGTCACAGTCGTGAGTACTGGGGTCACAGCCATGTGCTCAAGCTTTGTTTCTCAAGACTTGTTTATGTGCACGGGTTCTCCATGCAGAGGCTAGGATGCATTGTATCCCTTGGCATAAGCAGTTGTGCATTGCCTGATGGTATCCTCAGGAAGAGCACAGAGCACTAACTGCTGAGCTCTCCTGCCCCTATGCTGCTGTTTGAAGCAGCCATTTCTGCCTGTCCCCGGTGAGCTTACTGAGCGCCTCTCTATTCGTGCCTGTCTGTATCTTCAGTGCTTCTGACAACATTCCCAAAGCTGACACCATCCGGACACTGATCAAAGATCTGTGGGACACACGCATGGCCAAGCTCCGGGTATCTGCTGACAGCTTTGTGCGGCAGCAAGAGGCACATGCCAAGGTAGGCATGGCTCTCCTGTCCCTGCCTGGTGCCAGTGGGCACTGCCAGCCAGTGTGCCTGCTTCCCAGGGAGTTGTCAGGGCATGCTGCCTGCTCAGCCATGTGCTCTCAATAGTGGCTCATTGGGACTTGGGAGTATGGCTCCTGTGAGACTGCTTAGTATCCACAGGGTACTGGGTTCACCCTCAGTGCCGGGAACAAACGACTCACTGTTCAGCCGTCTAGCTTCTTCTTAAGCCAAGACTCCCTCTGCTCACTGGCCTCTCTGTTTCAGCTGGACAACCTGACCCTGATGGAGATCAACAGCAGCGGGGCCTTCCTCACCCAGGCCCTCAAGCACATGTACAAACTCCGTACAAACCTGCAGCCCTCCGAGAGCTCTCAGTCTCAGGACTTCTAGCCAGAGGCCTCTGGTCCGCAAACCTTTGCTGTGTCTGATGGAGTGTGGGGGAAGGGTGTGAACACTGGTGGAGTGGCAAGTGTGCTACCCGTCTTTGTCAGAAGTCAGCAAGTTCAACTCCATGGAACGGATACGCCGCCAACTTTGCTCTTCTGCCCATATTTCTCTTGTGACCAAGGACTGCACGCCAAGCACAGCGAGTGGTCGGGACAGCTCAGTTCACCTCAAGTGTCTTCAAGCTTGACCTGTGGAAAGCTGTATGTAGTTGAGGCTGGGGTGGTGGTGGTGGTGGTGGTGGTGCCGCTGATACAGAAAGACTTTCGTCTTAACATGATTTAGGAAGATTTTATTTTTGGGATGTCAGAAATTACAGCAATATATTCATAAATACCTAATTACTACATTCAACAAATAATATTACAATACAGTTAATTCAAACAAGTACACTTAGAACGGGTTTAATTTCACAGCATCTAAACTGCCCCCAGAGCGACCGAGGCACCCGTCCTCCCTCCTGCCTGGGTGTCGGGCCGCAGCCCCAGCAGTGAGGCGTAGGGCACACACAAGCACGAAACCAGTGAGATGCTTCCTCGGGTCACGGCAGCCTCTAGGGTTTAAGTTAAGCACTGGATCAGAGAGTGGGGACAGGCTACGGCAAGTAGTGAAGTCAAAGCTTGGTACTTGAAAGAGTACAGGCTGCTGCTAAAAGTGGCTAATGCACCTCAGAGGTGCTGGGCCTGCTGTGCAGGCCGCTCCATGCTGGGGCCTGGGCAGCTGAGGCAGGGCGGGAGGCATCTAGTTTGCAGTTCAGCTTAGCTGGTTGAGACTCTGTGCTGTGAGCCTGGCTGTGGCAGCCCACTGTTAGGGTGGGGCTTGCTCTGGACGCCCTAGTGGTACAGTCTGGTGTGACGGTGCAAGTGGGTGTTTTCAGGTCACCATGTACCCAAGTGTTGACAGCCCTCTCTTGGTCACTGATGTGCGATGGTGGCGGGTCTTAATTACATGAGACAGTGTTGTATTTAAAAGATCTGATCAGAGACCTGTCACAAGCTCGGTGCCTCCCACCCAGGACAGATGGCAGCTACCACTTGCAGGTGGACTGGGAAGACATGGTCAACGGCTAGGATTCTCACGGACATGCTGATTTCACAGTCCAGCCTAGAGCAGAGCCGTAGCAGGGAAAGGCTGGAGGGGTCTCTAGGGACAGTGTGGTACCTGGGAGGGGGCTACTGTGGTCTTCTAAGCCTCATCCGGCTGAGACTGTGGGATGGGAAAAATGCCCTATGTGGGCCAAGTGGCGGCCACCTGCCACTTTATTGGCTTGTACCTGGTTCTGATTGTCACTTTACTTATGAGCATGTGGATAATTCTGTCTCCAGATGCTAGAGGTGGTCCTAGAAGCTTCGGGACAGGCAAGGGCATTGGGAAAGGCCATAGGCATTGCTAGTCAGTGGCTCCGCTGTGCCCCACACTGACCTGGAAGGGCATCGCTTGCTTTGGATCATATACTCAGTCAGGGGGGATTCCTGTGGGATGATGGGAGACTGTGCGTGTCTTAAGTTATGGGTTCTACCTTTCCCAGAAGCCATTACCAAACAGATTAGCAGAAGCTTCTAGTCATCAGGGTAAACTTAGCCTGGGAAAAGGAGCACTGAGCACAGGCAGCATCTAACTGGGAAGTCGGGTAGTACTTTGGCCCAGAGTGTGTGGCCTCTGTTCTCCTTTGACCATCATCTCTGACTGGCTGTGGGCAGAGGAAGGTGCTTAATTGATGGCCCTGGTGGCACTTCCTTGTCTGGGTTTGCTGATAACGAGAAGGTTCTTAGCAGGTGGGTGGAGCAGGGATAGGGAACAGACTGCCAGCCAGCTGCTCTGTACAGCCACTGAGCCTGGTGGCCAAAGGTAGGCTCAGCCTCCTCTCCCCTCCGTGATGGAGGACAGTCAGAGGCTCTGGCAGGAAGAGGTTCTCTTTCAAGTTGGTCAGCCCTGACTGAGGAGTTGAAGCTGGGAAGGGAGAGATCCCTCAGTGCTGAGCTTTCCTGCCAGAGCTGTGCCTGTCTCAGTGGCTCAGCTCCCCATAGCTTTGCCAAGTCCCTGCTGCACACGGGTCCCTGTGCCCTGGACAGCAGACCAGCCCTAGGCGCCCCCTCAGCCCTGCTGTGTGGGATGCTCACAGGTGAGCTCTCCTACTCCTAGAACTTCAGCATTTTAACATTCTGACCAGCAGCAGTACAAACATTAAAAGCAAGGTTGTTTTTTTTTTTTTAAATCCAGAAAAACAAAAACAAAAACAAAAAAACAAAGGAAACCCCCAAACAGGAAAAACAAACAAAATTCCCCAAACCACATATTAAAAATGGCAGGCTTTTTATAACAATAATTAAAGTAATAAAAACATACAAAACTTTTGTTTTTTTTTAATATATACACAGTACAAGGCTGAAGCACCTTTGACTTTTCTCTCAAAATGTACGTTTGTATGAAAACACCACACACGGCGGTAGCAATCCAGTGGGTAGGCTATCTGTGGACAGCTCCACGCATCTCCCCCAAGGAAAACAAGGTACTTCTGGGTGTGGGTTTGCCTCTTTCCCTAAGAGCTGTTCCAGGGAGAAGCCTCGGCTAGCTTGTGTGCTCCCAGGACCTGTGGCTTTGATGATGACGCACACGCACAGGAAGGCGGCGGGACCGATGGTGAGCCCTTTGCTTGTACACACCCAGCCTTTCCCAGAGCATTGTCCCGATCCTGGGAGGAAGAGGTTTAACCCCCCAGGGCCGCAGCAACAGTAAGCTGGGCTCTTGTGGCACGGCAAGGCCAGAAACGACCAGCTGGCTCTTCCTCAGCCACATGCACGGTGGGCGTCAGTGTCAGAGAAGGATGACGTGGGAGAAAAGAGGAAACAACACCGACCTCAGGAAGAGAAACTGAGTCTTAGCTGAGACAGGCACCTCGATGACCCTGGAGTCGAGGTGATATCCTCTCTGGAGCCTGGAACCCTTCGCTTCATGCATGGCACGTTCTCAATTTGTAAGCTTCAAACCTCCCAGTGAAAAATATTAAATATTCAAGGTAATAAAATAGATAATATTTCTATACTATAGGTTCAGCCTAGTGCAAGGGAAACCGTCACCTCGGATATCCCTTAAAGTAGCCCCTAGGCCAGTGCATGGTGGGCAGGGCAAGGCACTTCCGCAAGTGGTCCAGCTCCGCCTGGAGCCGCTCCCGCTCCGAGACCATCTTCTGTTTCTGACTCCGAAGCTCCTGGGGAGAAGATGCGTGTCAGAACCATCTGTACATACAGCAAAGTGAGTGGCTTCTGGAGATCGCTAGGACATTCTTCCCTGGCGTACTGTTGCCTTAGCTCAAATTCTGACCACCCCTGCACATGTGCCCCGGGGTGGGGGAACACAAGGGCTTCTCAGATAAAATCTTTTTATTCCTAACACAGGATCTTACCCTGTGTCCCAGGCTGACATCAAACACAGATCTGTCTACTTCCCAAGGACTGAAGCATGGCTACTCTGCCTGGCACTAAGTTTTGATCTCTTAAGAGCAGACTTCTCTCTGGGGTCGCCTGTACAGAGCCCACGCCTGACTCACCGCCATGCTGTGGGACAGCTGTTCTGCAGTCAGGCTGAGGCTGTAGTTCTGCGCCTCCAGCCGCCGGCACTGTGTCTGCAGCACCTGACGCTCCAGGTTTTGCTCTGAAAAGACAAGAGGTGGCGATGTGTCATCTTTGTATGAAGCAGCATGCCTTCATGCAGCGTGTTCTCAGCTGCACCAATGCGTTCAGGCATGGCCACGCCAGTGCAGTGGGGAAAACCCGGAGAAACTACTGTGGCGGAGGCAGAAAAAGGCCAGAGTGTCCTTAATTCGTTGAATCTGTTTCACCGAGAGACACTACCACAGAGTGCTTCTTCAGTTAACACCACATGACCGCATGGACTGGCATCACAAGGCTGGGTCAATCCTGACAGTGAGACACACTTGTCAACAGTGGAGCAAGCAAAGCAGGAAAGGAAAGAGGAAGATAAAAACCCGACAGAGGAAAAGAGCTTAGGTTGCCTGAAGTTTTATATCCAAGACAGGAGCCTTGCCATCCAAGTCCCAAGGAATACAATGACAAGGAGAGAAACACTATTCCTGATCTGACTCATGTGGAGAGGGCTGGGCACAAACACACGAGAAAGCTACGCTTGTGTCCGCTGTGGAGAGAGAGAGAGCCATAGGGGACAAGATTCTGAAATTCACACAGCTGCTTAGGACAAGCCAAAATGAGCTGCCATGGGGGTGCTGCTGCCTGCCATACAACAGATGCATCCTCAGAACGACAGGGACAACACAGGGAGGTGTCCTGGCAGCCTTCAAAAGACCCCACACATTTCCATTCATTCGAGATGCTACCGGATTACGTTTCTGCAGGATACAGACGGGTATAGGAACAGTGAATGGTAAATCCAATAATCCAAAAATAATGGGTAGGGGAGGGTGCCTTCTGAGGAAAGCCAAGCTCCAGCAGGAGCTCCTACTCTGGCAATCTCTTAAGTTCGTCAGTTGATATCTAGTTCAAAATGCCTTTCAAGGCTGGGTGGCACATGCGTATGACCTCAGCCCTCAGGAGGAGCGCACAAGTACTAGGGAATCCTGGGCTTCAAAGTGAGAGCCTGAACTTGCATGCAGTATATGGCTTTATTAACGAATATGCCAAAAAGGAAAGGTAAGGTGTGGGGGGAAGGAGGCAGCCTCGGTTTAGGCCAAAGGTGGTGCAAGCACCCAAGTACTGGGAGATGGGCCAGGGAGCGGTATACAGTAAACAGGTGCCAGCACCTCTCTCCAGGACTGTGTGTGAAGACAGCGGAGCAAGGGATGTCTGGGCATGTGACTCAGGCTGCTTTTAGGCAAAAACACCTAGAAACTTCAGTGTGGGCTCAGATCGTGGTGATTAGGACCAGCCAGGGCTCAGCTACGTCTGGAAACCATGCACCATTCTGCCATGTCTCACCCCAACAGGGCTCAGGGCTGGGGTACGGGCTATGCCGTAGGCTTGCCCTGCAAGAAACCAGTGTCTTAGCGTGGTGACTCAAGCAGCCCTGGACTGGCAGAAATCTAGCAGACCGACTGGACGCACGGATTACCCGTCCGCACAAACCCTTACCTTCTATGTGTTCCTGGTAAGCCTCAAAGACTGCCTCAATTCCTTGCCACTGGCGCCTGGGGGCTTCCTCATCGCTGTCGTCCTCAGAGTCCTCCTCAGAGTCCTGGTCCACCTCCTGCATAGGAGGGCCTTTCCTCCCTACAGGGGGCTCCTGCTGTCCATTGTGCTGGGGCAAGGGGACCCTGCTGGAGGACTGCAGCTCGGGAATGTTGTAGTGGACTGATGTGTCGACTTTGTGGTTCTGCTCTGCAGACAGCAAAGCCGAGCTCCCTGGGGAGAAGAAAACGGAGATCTTGAGGCTCAAATGACGGAGACAAACGTCAGAGTTCCTATCCCCCGGGGCACATTGAGAACTCTGTAAGCACAGCGTGCTTTGTGAGGGCAGGGGTGCTCCCTGAGCAGGGCCAGGGATTGCGCCCTCCATCGGGAGGTGCTTCAGTCCTGCGGGTGGCCTCGCCTGAATGATGCCCAGTGATACGTCCCCTTAGATGCCACCTGAGAGAGCCCCTCCACCCTAAGGAGCAGGGAGCAGACAGCCTCTGGCCAAAGCTCACAAACCAGCTCACACTTTTCTTCCAGTAGTTTTCCCCTCACAGGCTAGGAGGCGAGGTCAGAGGTCAACGCTGATGTCTTCCTCTATTGCTTTCCTGTTCTGTTTAGCCTGGCTGGCCTGCAAGCTTCAGGTATGCAGTCTCTGCCTCCAACCACCCCAGCTCTCGCCTTAGCTTCCTGAGCCCCAGCAGCTGAGTTAACTCAGTGACAAACACTGGGAGGTCAGCCTTCACAGCCTCATGTGAAGCCCTCAGACAGACTGGGAACGGTTGATTAGTCAATTCTCCCTGCTTGGGTTTACACACACACACACACTTCGCCTGGGTGAGCGGGGCAGGAGAACCCGCTGTCCCTACATTCAGGGCCCTGGGCGGTAGGTACACGGTACCTTGACAAAGACCCAGATCTCCAAGTGAGCCCATGACGACTCTGGGAAAGCCGCAGCTGTGGACTGTACATACAGAGGACACTTGCTCTGGCCTTACTTAGGACCTGCTACAAGCCTGGAAGCGAATGAGGCTTGCCTCTCCCCTCCCCAAAGCGCTTCACAGGTATTAAGGATTAAGCAGGACCATCACTGTGTAAATGGCCTGTGTCACCCTGTAGGACCTTGAAAGGCAGCCTGGTTTCTGGTGGAGCACAGGCTGGAAACCCCGTGACCCTAAGGGACCCTAGGCATTTTGCCATACCCCCAGACTCCCGACACGAGGCCACAGCCCTCCACATAGGTTTATGTCCTTCAGTCACACAGGGCAATGCCTCCTAGCCCCTCGGTACCTAAAGGCCAGAAGGGCTTAGCCAATTAAGCTTTCCTTCCCAGATCCTTCTCCCTGCAAAAGGGATTTAACCGCAGGCCTGCCCTGAGAAACTGGGGTGCAATTTCTCATCTACTTTCTTTTTTTTTTTTTTTTTTTTTTAAGATTTATTTATTTATTATATATGAATACACTGTAGCTGTCTTCAGACACACCAGAAGAGGGCATCAGATCTCATTACAGATGGTTGTGAGCCACCATGTGGTTGCTGGGATTTGAACTCAGGACCTCTGGAAGCGCAGTCAGTGCTCTTAACCACTGAGCCATCTCTCCAGCCCTCATCTACTTTCATATTATCTCATGACAGTAAAAGCCTTAAAACCACGGACTGTTTCTTTTCGTTGGGACCCACCATGGGGAACAACAGGCCTTCATCTAGAGAGCTGTGCCTAATCTCCTGCAGAAGTCGTCTCTGCATTCCCAGCCACAGTGACCACCAACCCAAGCCAAACCAACCAGCCAGCCACGCCAAGAACTCTCATCCCTGCATGACCCAGCCGGAGCGCGCTCCCCCTCTTCCCTTCGGCCACAGGCCGATCCAACCCGTGGGCCACCACTTAGTTCTCTCAGCTCTTCTGTGGCTTCCAGTGAGGCCTGGGTGGCCAAGAGCCTGGGAACCAGACGGTCGGGACCTCAGACTGCGCTCCCCCAACCCTGGAGCCGTGTCCCCAAGGCAGCTTCTCACAGCGCAACACCAGCCCGGCTCACCCTGCACTGTTAACAGGTGACATGGGACAAATGTGGCCCATTACCTTTATGCTTCTGCAGAGCCTTCTGTGTGGACTGCAGTACGGACTCGTGGAACTGATGTGCAAACTCTTCAGCCATGAAGGGCTCCCAAGGCTTGCTCTTTCCGTTGACGCTGTGGGACAACGGCACAGGAATGTCCTTGGGCGGAGCGCCCCGGAGGTAATGAAGCATGCTCAGGTTCTTCTTGCCCCCAGGGGCCTCGCTCAGCCTGGCCTTCTCACCGCTGGCAGGAGCTGGCTCCTGGACTCTCAAGAGCTCCTGGGGCCGGACCTGTTCCAGTCTTGCAGTCTCTGCGGCCTTTGGGACATCTGACAAGGAGGCAGGGACCCCGGCAGGCTGATCCGTCTCTAGAGGAGCTGGCTGTGTGGCTGGTTCTTTGAGAGACAGAAAATGAGGGGAATATTAGGAGCTGTGGAACAACAGGCATGCAGACACTACTGATCTCTAGAGCTGAGATCTGCAGAAAGGCCCAGTGTGAGTGTGTGTGTGTGTGTGTGCGCACGCGCGTGTACCCCACGGTAACATTGTGCATGAGGTTAGAGTTTGAGGAGTGGCCTGTTTAGCAGCAGGTCCAACCACGAACAGTTCCCAAGGGACAGGGAGACACGAGCAGGAAGCGCTGAGAAGGTAGGAGTGACTTCATCCAAATCAGAGAGAGCAAGTGAAGACGGGAGCTAGCAAGAGGCTGGACCCCAAGGATTCAGCTTTCTTCGACTGGAGAGCAGCAGAGAAGCGAGAGAGGAAGCAGGAGCTGGAGACAGTCTGGAGAGCCCAGGCAGGGCATGCAGCGGGCTTCGGACCCATCCTCTTGGGAAGTGGCGGCTACAGCCTGCAGCTGATGGGCGGCACCATGGGAGTCAACGCCCTCCCCTGAACTTCACGCCCACCTTCCAATCTGCACTGTGTCCTAAGGCTCGGCTCAGCCAGGATGGAGAGGGATGGAGAGAAGCCCTGCTTCCAGTACATCAAGTTCACTGCGAAGACGAGACTTCGAACGCCACCTCTAACCCTGTGGCCCAAACTACAGGAGACTGGCGGGTGGCATGTCCCTCCCTTACCACTCAGGGAGACGGTAGGACTGTCCCTCGGAGAGTTTGTCACTGAGTCTGCTACTGGTGCGGACAGTGCTCTCTGTTTCATGGCACGGAGCATCTCCACAAGCCTCTCTTTGTCTGTGAGGAAAGCAGCCCGAGGTTAGCAGCACTTTGAGATGGGAGGAAAGGTGAAATCTGGCCACCATGACTGGCAGGTATAAGCCCTTCACACCAAGAGGCGCCAAAAGCAAGCACCATGGCCAGCGCTGCAGACAGGAAGAAAGTAGGTGACACCAGCCACGTTTGCAGTGGCTGCTTGGGGGTTTCCATGGTGACTTCCTTCTCAGCAGTTATCCTGATCTGAAGACCAGGGATGGCCCCAACACGAGGGCAGAGACCAGGGAGGTAGCATGCTCCCTGCCTAGGGTCAGAGCCATTTCCCACGAAGGAGTGCAGACCCTGCAAGTGTTCCACACCGCAGATCCCCGATTCAGTGGCTCTTCCTGCCAGCTCTGAAACTTAAGAGGCTTCGGTGCCGACGGCGTCCTTTAGACACAAAGCCAGGTGAAAAAAAATCACAACTAGGCACGCGTCCAGGGGCTTGTGCTGGCAGTCAGCCCGTCACTAACCCTTGCGTGGAAAGCGAGACCTCCGCCACGCTTGTTAAAAAGGAAAAAGAAACTGCCACCTCCAATAAAGAAGCTTGTCAGACCAACCGAAGAGCTGGAGGCCCCGTTTTTCCTGGGAGTCTTCCAGAAGAGGCCAGTGCCCTTAAGGGGCACAAGGCACACAGGAGCATGGCTGTGAACACCACCGCCTCAGCCCAAGATGGTGTCGAGCCAATCAAAGTAGCCTCAGCAGGCCTTCGCCATGCCATGTCTTCTATACTGTGGATTCCAGTCCCAAGTCTCTTCTCCAACATGGCCCTAGGGTACCAGACTGATCTGGAAGCATCTTTTTGGGCAACTTATGCTTACTATGTGGGCTTGTTATTTACAGACCACCCACAAGCTCACTCTCCAGGCCTGTTAACATCAGACACAGTGCTCAGTAGAGATCACTGGCGACCCCAAGAGGAAGGGCCTGCGGGACACAAATCCCGAGTACACCCTCTCAATCCCAGGGAAAAGTCCTAGAAGCACCCTGACCAAAAGTACAGGAGGGTGGTAGGGGGGGACTTGACGGGCAATGGCTGTACATACACATGAGTCTTCAACAGGACATATGCCAGAGCAGAGTGTGACAGAATCACCAACCAGAGCCGAGAGGCTCATGCTACCCCAGGAGCGCCCTGGCCTGCACATGCAGGCCAAGAGCAAGACCATACCTTTCCTCTTCTCTGCACTGATGTGTGTCAGGTTGAAGAAAGTCAGGAACTTCCTCTTCTCCTCAAAGTTGGGGCTGTTGTTCATCTCGTCGGGGCTGTATCGAGTGGACAGAGCCAGCCTGGGGGAAGGCGTCTGTCGCTTGCACTGAACGGCAGGTGGTGACGGGCTTCGCTCTCTCAGCATTCGCCTCCGCTTCCGACGCTTCTGCGCCACCAGCTCCTCCTTCTGCTGTTGGGTGGTCAAGCCAAAAAGTTGCAAGAACTCTAGCTTCTAGATCGAGAAAGAAAACAAACGAGCGTGAAGCCACTGTCAGCTTCACACTGCCCCAGGGTCCCGTGGTCCACGCAGTGTCACTTGGATCTGGGCCGCAGCGGAGCAGGGCAGTGTTTGGAAGCCAAGTGGTAGGCCGAAAGCGGGGACTAACTACCCAGCCAGCCCAGAGCATGCCGGAGTCGAGGATGGACCTGTTTACCTCAGAGGATGTGTCCAGTTTGAGGGGTGGCTGCTCGGCCACACAGCGGAGGTGTGCCCTGACCTCCTCCTCATCGCTCTCATCGTAGGAGTCGTCGAGGTCGTAGTAGTACCCTGATGGCAGAAATGGGTGCACTGAGCCCGGCTCAGAACCCAGGATGCTCTGTGGACACGTGCACCTGGGGGCATGGGAGTGAGACCACTGGGCTGGGCCTGCAGGCACCCGCGAGGACCCTTGCTAAGAGGGCCTGGTCCCTTCCCACCTGCCTGGACACCTGCAGTAAGCTGGGGATGGCAAGTCTCAGACTTGGGATGCTCCCTGGGCCCAGAGCAGAGCATTCCTGACAAAGGCCCGATGCCCATGGCTTTGTGAGCATGCCACCACCTCTGTTGTGACCCTCATAGGAAGGTAGCGAAAAACCAGAGTCCCCATTCCTTTTCAGGGTAAAATGATGGAAAAGCCCCAGCCAGGTCCTAAGAAGCTAGCATGACCAGCACTCCAGAAGCAGAGCTAAGAGTTGCTGGGTGCAATACCAGACAGGCCGTATCAGTTCAAGGAGACAAAACTGGCCTCAGGTAGTCCCCCTCAGCAGGTGTGTCCTGTGCTTCTGTGTCTACAGCCCCCACTGGCTCTCCTGACCTTCTCAGGACCTTAAGGAGCTGTCCCCTTCACTTCTAGGGGACAGGGACAGGAAAGAGATGCCTAACTCTAGGCTCGGTCAGGGAAGTGTCAGCTGCTGTCTCTTATCCCCTGGTGCACATGCCCGCAACTGTCACTAGCCCAAGCCTGAAGCCCTGCTGGGCTGTTCCTCTGTTAACATCACACTACTGATATTTAAAGACACCTGATCAGTCTCTGCCCATCGCTTATCAATACCATGTCTTCAGTACTGTCTTGGCAGACAGGCCATGACTTCGAATTCTGGGATAACGTGCCTCAGGGCAGGACTGGCAAGGGGCCCTACAGGTGTGAGGTTCAGAAGTCTGAAACTGCTATCTGAAACCAGTTTTTAAAAACTGGAAGTAAAGTGGGAGAAGAGAGGCCAGCAGCTGGCACTGGACTCTCCTGTCCTGATGAACCCCCGATTCCCAGTCAGGCTGGGACCCACTCAGGAGGCCAGACCTTTCTCCTGAGCCTCGCGCCGCCTGCGCTCCTCCAGGTCCAGTTTGCTGACCAGCTTCCGTCGCTGCTGAAGAAACTCGTCATAGATGTAGGCCGGGTCAGGGCCCCTCGCCGTGGGGTGGCAGAACGGCGAACCTGGCTTCAGAGGCCCACTGAGCTCCCCAAAGGGGGTTGGCTGGGAAAGAGAGGGCCGCTGCTGGCCCAAGATGGTCTGTGTTGACTTCTCAAGTTCAGCGAGGAAAGGCCCAGGTCCATGGGAAAAGGTCTGAGGCTCCAGACTTCCTGCCTCCCGTGGTGGTGGCGGCGGCGGCAGCGGCAGCGGCAGCGGCGGTGGCTGGTATTTGTCCAGTGGCGTGGCCTCACGCTTCCGGGGCTCCTCTGCCTTCTCTGAGCAGTAAACCCGCTCTACCTTCACCAGTGGCACGGCAGCCTGGCGGCTGGGCTCAAAAGCAGTCGTCGGGTGGCTATGCAGAGAGTGGCTCTCGGCCCGCCGCGTCTCCAGAGCATTGTCCATCAGAGACACTGGATTCCAGAGGGCTGTGGGTACGTTGTGGGTCTGGGGCTTGGGCGAGATGAGGGGTGGTGGGCCACCAAAGTGCTGTGGGGGCTCACGGCTGCCCTGGTCGTGACGGGTTGGTCCTGGCCTAGAGAGAACATACCAAGCCATCGGTTTTGGAAGCAGACCTGCCTACCAGCCTCCCACAGAGCGAATGCCCAGGGTGGCTTGCTGGGCTCACACCAGACTGCCTGTAGGTGGGAACTCCTATGGGGAGAGGCCTTCACCCAGTCTACGCCTAGGAGAGCCAAGTCTTCCTGGAGAAGAAGCTCTGACACCAGACACAGGGTGGTGGCTGTTGCTGCCCCCCTGTGGTTCCCGACAGAACTGCAGCAGCCCCAGAGCTCCGCCTGAAGGACTTTGAGCTTGCCTTGCTAGATGTGCAAAAAGCTTCCCCTAACCCACTCTCTCTATTGCCCAGCTCTGCCCAGGACCCCCACCGTTCACCAGTCGGTCCATGCCCTCCTCCAGGCCTGGGCAGCAGCTACACACACAAGCCTCTTTTGGCTGTAGACTACTACGGAGATCCACAACTAGTCAAAAGACAAGAGGACAGGTGACTTTTAGGGACCAGCCCTGACTGGTCCATCTAGAGCACAACCCCCACACTAGGGAAGCACCGTGGAAGACCGACAAAGCCAACGTACCAGGAATTCCTCTGGTAGGCAGTGCCACGTATGCATGACAGGGAAGCTGTCACCTAAACAAGACTTGTATACTGACAACACTGGCTGACAGGCCAGCACAGGAAGAGCTGGAGACGGAGGTGAGAGGGAGGGACCTTCAGGGACAAGCAACCTGATAATCTACCAAATCCCAAGTGGTCAGCCCTAAACACATACAGACACAAGTGCAACACAAAATGGGCTCAGGAGGTTGTACACACACACACACACACACACACACACACACACACAAACAAAAAACAAAAATTACAGAAGAGGTCTTAAACTTGGAAGCACAGGAGGAGTTTGGAGGAGGGGAGTGGGAAAACCCGGTTACAGGACTCATAAAACTCAAAAACTTTAATAAAAAAAAAGTAGTTTTAGGGGGTGTTCCCAAAGCTCAATACTTCTATGAGGGTGAAGAAGAAATGTTCAGACTCATGCTGTCCCAAGATAAGGGCAAGGTCTATGGAGGAGGGGCCCAACGGGCCACTGCTAGGCTCCTAGGGTCTTCTGGGTCTGGCCGAGGCACCATTTAACAAAGCCGCCAAGGCTGCCCCTCACTCCTGCACAGAGGCAGAGCACAGCGTTTGGCTCCCCTCAGGTTCAACAAGGGATAAACAATCACACCACACGCCCTGAGTCAGGCATGCCACAGTTCCCAGCTAGGGGTGCATGGCCCCACCCCTCCCTACACCCCCACCCCATCCCAGCAAGTAAGAGCAGGTTGATGTGGGAGGCGGGTCCGGCAGGGCCTCGGAGTGGCCTCCCTACAGCCGTGCACAGTGTGGAGGGCCAGGGATGGGAACCTGAGGTACTTCCAGTTATGGCTCTTGTCAGCATGGAGGAGAAGGGGTGAGAGACTTATCTGTGTACCAGTCAACACAGATGCTGAGGGATGGGGTGGTCCAGAAGATGAAGCAGGCCGTGTGGACCAATAGCAGGCGAAAGGAGTGCAGACAGACTGATGGATGGATGGATGGACAGACGGACGGACAGACAGATCTTTGCATCAGCATCACCTGCCTCCAGTGAGGCCCCGCCCAGGACCCACCTGGTGCTCTCGGGCCTGTGCTCCGCCTCTGTGGGCACCGGGGGCCGGCCCAGGTCAAGGTGCTGCTCTAGGACCTGCTGCCGGAACTCGGACACCTGTGACTGGCGGTCTTCCTTCTCCTGCCGCAGGCGCCGCTGCCTCGCCAGCCACTTCTCCTCCTCATTGGTGCGCTGGATCAGGAGGGCTGTGGCGGCGGCACTGCTTCCAGGTAGGGAGAAGATGCCATGGCCGGAGATGAGGCTGGGCACCGTGTGGTGTGGGGCAGACACTGGGTGCAGGGGATGCTGTACAGGCTTGGGTGCCTGCAAGCCCACGTCCTTCAGCTTCTCTGTGGGAGGAAAACACTGTCACTGCGGGAATGCCAGCGCCTTCGCTCACCCCTGCTCGAAGGCCAGGACAGAAGGAAGAGGTCTTGTAGAACTTTAGGAGACACACGTCATCCTTGGAGAGAGGAGACACGGAGGTATGTGTGGCTGGCTCAGAACCAGTTGTGTGTCTTTAAGGACTCATGGGGCCAGTTGTTAAAACAGCCACTGAGGCAGCTCAACCACATAAGATTTTCATCAAGTAAATTCCATTCAGAACAAGATCGGGATGGCTCATGCCTGCGGTCCCAATGCTTTCGGGGCTGACAAAGGAACACGGCTATGAATCTGAGGTACGCCCGAGTCCCAGGCTAGCCTTGGCTTTAGAACAGAACTCTGACACAGAACAAACGGTCAGATCGGGGGTATCTCAACGGTGTGACTCTGGTGTCCACCATCACCATGGCAAAGGGCCGAGACCAACCAAGGCTCCTCCAGCAGTGACGGCAACTCCCCTCCCCTGTGTCTTGCCCAGTGACTCTTTCCGTTCCAGGGGGCACCTCTGGGATCCTGTATCCACCCAGGGTGCCACACGGCACACCTCTTCCCAGTCTCGCCAGCAATGGCACGGCACTCCTCAACCCCAGGGCAGGCGCTCGGGTACCTGCTCGGGTCGGAGTCAGCTGCTCCGAGGGCTTGGGCCGCTCCTCGGTGGTGTGACCTCGGAGTCCGTGCAGCTCGGCCACGGGCAGGAAGGTGGGCTCCAAGGCCTTGGCGGCCAGCAGCTCTTTCTCCCTCGCCCGCTGCTCCCGCTGGCGCTCCAGCTCCCGCTCCCGCTCCTTCTCCAGCTCCCGTTCCCGCTCCTTCTCTCGCTCCTTCTCCCGCTGCTCCCGCTCCCGCTCCTTCTCCCTTTCTCGGTCGGCCTCCCGTTCCCGTTCTCTCTCCCGTTCCCGCTCCCGCTCTCTCTCCCGCCGCAGCTCCTCATCCATTTGCAACCTGGGGGCACAAGCAGAGGGCGGTGCGCTAAAGAAATGTGCAGAAGGGGCAAGTCCGCGCCCAGCTCAAAGCGGGGCAGCCATACTCTTCCACCTCTCACTCCCACACATGAAGATCCTCACCCCACTACCGAGCCAGACCCCACTACCGAGCCAGGCCCCGCTGAGGGCCTGAAGCACGCTCGACTGTCCTCCCCTCTGTTGAAGACACAGCTTACCTCTCTGCGCTGAGGCTGGACATCCGCTCCGAGTGTAGCGCTGCCAGGGACGAGTGGGAGAGCTCAGGAGGGTACCGTACCCCGGAGAGATGCAGGTGCATCGCCGACGGGTGCAGTGGAGGCAGGGAGCCGGGGGTAGGGATGGGGTAGAAGGGAGACCTTAAGGCTGACAGGCAATAGGAGTCGTCCATCCTGTAGAGAGAGGTAGAACTGGTGTGTGCCGAGGCAGGAGCCTAGCAGACGAAAAGCCCTGAGGTGCATCTGTAGCACTGCAGGAAAAAAGGCTGAGACCCAGGCAGGTGAGCGGGTGCTGCTCACGCAGGCTCAGCACAGCAAAGGCTGTACGCAAAGCACACGTCCATGGTCAGAGGCCACAAGGAACTGACCACATGGGCGCCTAGGATAAGTGAACGGCAGGGCAGACTGGCTGCGGACAGAGACCTCCCATGTGACCCCCCGTGATGAGAGGCCAGTCAGGCTAGGAGCTTCTGCAGGAAGAGGGCATGGCCTGACTCTCTTGGGGGGTCTCCATCACACTGTCCGGGTACCGCACATAAGTTAGTGGAAACTGGCTACTGGGACGTGGATGCTGAGAAGTGGGAACCGGGGAGCAACAAGCAGGTGGTGCTGGGCCCATCCATCAGGACTCGACTCAACTCAGTCAGAGCCGGGAAAAGCTATATGGGATGGACCAGGTCTCCCTTGAGTGTCTGGCCCCAAGCCCTGAGAGGTTCTGTCTTGCTGAGAACAGACTAGCACTCAGACACTTTGTGTGTGGGAGACATCTCACCTGAAGGCCGGGTGGGGGAACGGGTGTGGGGCCAGGTAGCTGGGGTGATAGTAGGCTGCGGCGGTGGCTGGGTCCAGGCCAAGCGGAGGCAAGGAGGACATGCGTAGGTCTTCAGCAGTGTGGTAGGGCCGGAAGCTCCTCAGGTAGTCCTCAGTCACCGTGCTGGGGGGCACCACATGGTGCACGGGCCGCTGGAGGCTGTGGGAGGGGAAGCAGGTGAGCAGAGGTAACTCGTCACGCCCCCTCAGCAGCTCAAGGCTGTCCCTGCCACCCCACGGCCCATCAGGCTCAGGCCCTGCCGCTCAATGAGGTACAGCCTGGCATGAAGCCCAGACTACACAGATGGGAAACTGCCTGCTCCTCAGACCTGCCTGTCCCTTAGGCTCCCGACCAGTGGATACAGATGCTAGAGTGGCCTCTCTGTCCCCAGACCCAGAGGATGGGCTCAAATGTGGTTACGACGAGTGATTAAGTCTCAGCACGGGGTGGACTACAAGCTCGGATGGGGCCGAGGACCTCAGGGCGGACCAGGCCACAGAGGCTGACAGCGCTCTGTCTATCTCAGCTGGCACAGACTCTCAGGCCTGTCTGGAGCCCCTCCATGCCCTCCCTGATCGCAGCCTGGCACTTACTTGAGGGGTTGGAAGCGGGAGTCCTGTACAACTGAGCCGGGGGAGAGGCCAAAGGGGTAAGGAGTGCTGAGCAGGTGAGGGGGGATGGCTGGGCCGGCTGCCTTTTCCTGGGCGAGAGGCGGCTCCACCAGCAGCCGCTCACGACCGCTGCTGCTGCCTCGGGAGGCAGAGTCCTGTGGGAAGAAGACACAGAGTTATTGGGGAGCCAGCCAGGTCCTCAGAGAGGCCAGTGTTTAGCTCATATTCTAGAAACATCCTCCCCCTAATTTTTTTTTTTTTTTTGGAACAAATGAAAAGAAAAGGTGGCTGGGCAGTGGTGGCACACGCCTTTAATCCCAGCACTTGGGAGGCAGAGGCAGGCGGATTTCTGAGTTCGAGGCCAGCCTGGTCTACAGAGTGAGTTCCAGGACAGCCAGGGCTACACAGAGAAACCCTGTCTCAAAAAACCAACCAACCAAACAAACAAACAAAACACCGCATAAAAGAGGTATTTTAGGGAGAAAGCCTCCCATGAGCGGGTCTAGACTAAGGTCTACATGGGCCTGGCTCAGTTCCCAGAGGAACTCAGCAATGTCGGGGAAGCCTTAAACACCAGACTGCTGAACCCCAAGATAAAGCATGTGAGTATCTGTAGGGCGGGAACTCCTACTTCCAATAAGCAAAATGGGGTGGTCATCAAAGTCAGGACATACACACCCTGGGGACCTGCACCTCAGGACAGAGTTTCTCCCAAGATTCCAGCGGTGCCCGCAGCTATCTGGACACTGCTAGCAGCTGGCAATTTGCTGGACCTACAAGGGGACACCCTTGCACATATTTAGGCTTTGGGACCCCAGTAGAGGCTCCCTTCAGGCAGGAAGTAAGAGGTGGCAGTAGGGATGGGTTAGGGCCTGGGGAGATCCAGCCTCAGAGATCTTTTGTGTAAGCAGCCACAAGCAGCACACAGCCCAGAGAAACCAGACTGAAGAACCCTGCCTGCTGGTCACCTGTGACTAGGGAGGAATCCTCGTGGCAAAGCAGAGAGACACCAATGGGAACACGGAAAAGTCAGGGAGCCGCCATGGGCCAAGGGGAGACTGAGGGCCAGGAGGCCCCTGGTATCACTTTGAGGTCCTTCCCTCAAGGCTGCAGGAGATGTCCAGCACAAACAGACAGCGGGTACTCACTAGGGACAAGAGGTCCTCTGGCTGACATGGGCTGAACCCATGGTGTGTCTGAAAGGCACATGGTAGCCAGCATAGTAACACTGACTGTCCCTGGAGGACAGCCCTGCCAGTCCTTCCTGGACTTCTGTCTCCTTGTGGCTATCCAAGCCAGTGTGGTGACACCCCTGGGGTCAGCTAACGTCACTGAAGCATATGTAACCCCCGAGGGGGGAGCAGTCCCTGCTGGGCCGACACTTAACCCTGTGAGCGCAGCGAGAGGACAGCTTACCTCAGTACCTCCCTGCCTCCATTTGCACAGAGCCTTACCACAAGCCCTCCTGCTCCCCACAGACAGCCAGCCACGATTAATTGAGGGAGACAGGCTGCTGATTGAATTTTTAATGAGCAACAACATCTGTTTCCTTCCCCGAGTGCAGCAGCAGGCTGTCTCGCTTCCCTTGTGGGGTCCTCACGGGTTCATGACCTCTGACCTGCCCTCCTTGGGAGGAACATTCACACAGTATCATAAAGGTGGGGGCCTGCAGTGGGGGGGGAGTCACACATCCCACCCACACCAGGACGAACAAGGAGACTAGAAAAATGGCCATCGGGACACTGGGTGTTGGGGGGTGGGGCAGTATGCCCCACTCCACGGGCCTGTGGCCTCTCTGACTAGAGCCTCGTTAAACTTGAGCCAGACACCAGAGGAACAGGTCATCTGTAGGCTAGGGTGCTGCCTGGGTGATGAGGAAAGAAAAAAAACCCAGGCGCAGTGGCTGCCCCAAGGCACCCCCCTGGCAGCGGCTGTGGCAGACAAGATATGTCTGCAGAGCGGCTTGACACAGCTGCATCCATGAAAGGCAGCGGCTGAGGAGGAGGGAGCTGTCATTCTCCAGAGATTAGAGCAAGGTCTCCACAGCTGGGCAAGCGGGACTTGCCCGTTAGCTTCAACATAGACCGTTCTTCCTTCATCATCTCCCGAGTCTTTCATTGCCTGGTCACCCTGAGAAGGATCCTGGAACCACGGCTTGCCTTGACTCCCAACAGTGGATGCACCGTGAGTCCCCTAGCGACTCACGGCCACACTACAGGGACAGCACATTCTCCCGCCCCTCCTGGAAAGGATTAAACTCTCTGCTGAGCTCTGAGCATCATCCGCTCAGCCACTGTGCTTGACGGCCTCCCTGGCGGCGAGCAGGTTTCGTTAACCGCAGCGTGAACTGCTGGAGCGAAGCCATCATGGCCCTTCTCCGGGTTACTAAGTGTTTCTGAGGCAGTGGGGATCCTCTGAGGATGGTGACAGGCTCCGGGCAGAGGAGTCACGAGGCAGAGGCACTCGGAACCTCCTCATTCTCTAAGGGGGACATGCGTGAGGTGTCTTGGACCTGGGCCAGGGGCTCTAGTCAGCGGATGCTGGGGGGGGGGGGCAAGGCAGGAACAGGAAGTGACCTCCTACGAGCTTGTCTCTCAGGAACAAAGCCAGAGCCAACCAGTCACCAGGCTTGCTGGTTGTCCAGGCAGGGAAGGGAAACTATCTGGGGGTTTATGTCAGCTGACTCATTGTCTGAGGTCAAAGCCGAGCTCTGGGAGGAGTCCACAGACAGGAGATGGTGGTGACAACTTCTCTGACTTCTCTTAATGCCAGGACAGGGTGGGTCTAGGCTTCTCTGAGCCGAGATTCGAGGACAGAATCTCACAGACAGGCTTCCCAGGGTAAGCATGACTTCAGCCACAGGAGGAATGTGCCAAGGCTGGCCCACAAGCTTCAGTAAAGAGCCTGGAGGATGCTCCAAGCACTTTACTGGGGACCAGGGACACCAATCAGACTGGCAGATGAAGCTCACACCCTGCCTATCCTGCCCTGGCCCCACAGGGGAGAGGCGCTCTCCTCCCCTCCCCGCTTCCATCTTTGTGGTTTAATTAGTACTTCCTAGCAGTACAAATCCTCTGGGAACCGGGTTGGAGAATCCAGGGAAAGCCACAGCTGAGAGCAGTTCTTAATTAGCAAGGCCCCCTCAGGGCGGGCGCCAGGCCGGTGGGAGGCCCGGGGTACAGGGGAGGCGGCTCCTCCGTTCCAGTCAGTCAGGTTAGTGTGCGGTCAGCTGCAGACACAAGATCCCTCCTGCTGGGATCAGGGACTAAAGAGTGGGCCTGCAGTCTCCGCCTCTACCCCTCTCCAAAGCAGTGACAGCTATTGTCTACCTAGAGACCCAAGGCTCAGGTACCACCTCAGGCACTTTATGGTGTTGTCTGTCTAAACCTGGTGACTCTGGGTCAATCTCTCACTCCTAAAGAAGTGATTGCCGCCAAGGCCACCAGAGGATACAATAAGACACCATCTAAAAGTAGAGGGGCAGTCCTTGGCAGGAGGGCCTCTGCAATCCCTCTCCTCCCTTCCCCTCCTCAGCCTAAGGGAGGCTTCTGGCCTCCTAAACCAAGCAACTGTGTCTGTGGTACTCTGTCACAAGCCTGATGCAAGGATTACCTTAATCCTACCATCTTCCAGTACTGGGTGTATACGTATCAAGCCCACCTCACAGAAGAGTCTGAGGTCCAGGGTGAGAGGCCAACCTCATCCCCAACCTCAAGTTCTCAACAGAGCTGTGGACAGAAAGCTACCTGCAGGGACAGAGACACAATCACACAATCACACAATCACACACACACACGTCCCCATTACCCCCACTACGCCCACTCTGGGCGGCGCCACTCACCTGGCGGCTCTCGCTTCTCCAGACCCCATTGACGGTTTTGGTGGGGGCAATAGTGACCACCGGGGGAGTGCTGGGGACACTGTGACCCCCAGGGGGGACGATGATGGGGCCCATGGGCACTCGCTTGGGCGTGCTAGCTGGAGAGCTATGGTTGGTGGCTGGAGAGGACACCGGAGATGACTCACTGCTCAGTGAAGACCCTGCGGATAGAGAACACAGAAGCTCAGGGGCTGTGCACGTCACCGCCACCCAACGCACCCATGCTTCTGCCATTTGAGAATGCTCACGGGGAGTGAGACCCAAGAGCAGCCAGGCAGGGAAGGACCGGCAGCCATTCTGTGGCCAGCTTTGCTGGCCTCCCTTGTCACACTGCTTCTCAGGCGTGGAGGTGGATAGCTCTTTTTACATTTAAAAATCTGAGACGTCATTCTCTTTTAAAAAGCCATTGTCAACGTGTCTCGGTGTATCCGCCATATTGTGTGAATGAATACTACTATAACCAGGACAGCCCAGTCATCCCAGAAAGAAGCAATGTGCTCTCGTTCCCAACCAACCCCAGCAGCAAAAGGGAAGAGGCAGGTAGGTGGGGGCAGCTTAGTTCTTGGGGTGTTGGTTCTGGCAGGTAGTCAGGAATGATCTCAGTCACTAACACAGTCCCCTCTTCCCCAGGACAATCCTACCACTTGGGGAAACATGGCACTGGCCTCTTGACGGCCGAGGCCCATATGTAACTTGTGTAGTTGTACAGCGCAGCCCCTAAGTAGTTCCAGACAAGCCTCTTGTTTACATGGCTAACCTATTGGGGCCCGACCTCGGCAATGAGGCCTGAAGGCCGGAGCTTAGGGAAGGGACTCTCAGTTTTCAAACGGGCAACAGACCTGCTGCCTACACCCTGAGAACTCCGTAGTCCCAAGCAAGCAGAGTCACCCCCAAGGCTGGGCAGTGTGAACCCAGCGCAGTGACAGCCCAGCACCTGTCGGTCGGAAGCAGAGCGGCAGCACAGGAAGGCGGGTGGGCTTAGAGACACACTGGCTTGGGAGTCCAGCTTCTGAGATCTGATGTAGGCAAGCTACAGGTTGGTGCAACCAGGCCTGGGGACTGACCAAGAACCTTGGCTACCTCGAACGAGCTACCACTCATGAGCCGGGGAGGGCTTGGCATCCTACATCTATATATTCGGTAGGAGGGCATCCCTCTGTGCAACTGAGCAGGCCAAGGGGCCAGAAAGCCACGCCCTATGCCTGCAATGCCAACCCTTGTATGTGTCCAAAAGGGAGGGCCCTTGTCAACCAAACAACCCTAAGAAAGTCCCTGTAGTCTCATGTGACACATGCCCGCAGCCTTGGCTACACCAAGTCCCAGCCCTGCGTATTCTATACTGGAATGCCCCGACAAGGCCCTCAGCCACATTCAGGAGAGGACAACAAGAACAGAAAGAGTCAAACTGAGCACACACTGTGGGATACAACCTCCTTGCTCAGAGACAGTACCTCAGAGGGTGGGACACAGTTCCTGGGGGGGGGGGGGGGCGGGGGAAGAGAAAGGCAGGGGCCCAACTTTTCAGACAGGGTCTTACTATACAGTGCAAGCTGGCCCAGAACTGACAGTTTGTTTCCATGCCAGGTGGAAAAATTCAATCACTTTCAAATTATTTTCAGGAATCTTCCTATTGCCTAAAACAGCAATCTGCTTGGGTACCACGGTCCTACCCAGGAGAGCCACGGCTATGGCGCACACGCCTAACATGCTATCAGTTTCTGTGTATGCGGAAACCTGTGTGTGCAGGTGTACATGTGTGCAAACGTTTGTGCAGAGGCCAAACGACAACCTAGGGGGTGCAGTCTTGGAGCACTGCGTACTGTTTCTAAGACAGGCCCTCTCGCCGGCCTGAAGCTCAAGTCAGGCTAGACAGAGTGACCAGGGGGCCCTAGGGTTTCACACATCATCTCCCTGTGTGATTGGGAACAGACGATACCATGCCTGCCTTTCAAACAGGTACGTGCTAGGGCTCAAACCCAGATCTCCAAGCATTTTACTGACTAAATCATCTCCCTAGCAACTCCTGCCCCTCCGCCCCTTCTTTTTGAGATAGAATCTCACTCTGGAGCCCTGCCTGGTCTGGACTCATGGCAATCCTCTTGCCCTAGCCTTTTGAACCCTGGGATGAAAGGCAGAGCCACCTCAGCAGAGTCAGTCCCCATTCAATCACCACCATCCACTTGGGAACATTTTTGTAATCTTCAGCCATGCCCGCCCCGCCCCGAGACGCAGCAGTCTGAATGTGCAGCTCTGCGGGCTCTGGGCATTCCCTGGCCCCCTCTGTTGAGGTGTTTGCTATATCAGAACTCCACCCGTACCTCAGAGTTGCTGACCTTCACTGAGGGGGACTAGTCATCAATTCTTCAGCCAACGGACAGTTGCCCGGCCCTACCCGACAGCTACTGTGAAGAGCAGTTCCCCCTGCAGACACTAACACAAGGGCAAAGAAATGTTTCGTCTGCACACGGGAGCAAAAAAACAGTTAGCACTTGCGCACGCAGAAGTCCACCACCCGCTAAAGCAGAGGCTGTCTCCCACATTATCCAGGAGCCTGCAGATGCTGGGTCACCACTGAGGGGCCTCTGGACATCTGTTGAGGGGCTGGGATAGGTACCAAAAATGACTCCTGAGGAAGGATCAGATGATGTCTCAGGTCAGTATGCAGGGACCTCCTAGCTCCTCTGTACCCCAGTCTGTACGAGGGGCAACCTCCAAGCTCAGCTGGCCCCACTCTGTTCCTTCCCATGCTAGCACAGCCTGGCCCAGCAAAGGACTAGTGTGGGACAGGCAGGCTCTGGTGTGGGGCTGGCTCAGAGAGGATGAGGCTGGCCCTGGACAATTAGCAGCCTAATCCCATCGGAGGTGGAAGGCAGAGGCCAGCGCTCACCAGCAAGAACCTTGGGATCAATACCTCACAAGGCGCTGCCAATTAGTGAGGCTGGCGCCTGGCTCCCGGCCCTGTGCTCCCTTGCTGTGTGTCGCCGAGCAGGCAGGTCCGACATCGCTGTAATTAACTGAAGCTATTCAGTCAGAATGGCGGGAGTGGGTCAGAGAGCTGGGGCCGAGTCCCGCAGATGAAGAGGCAGAGGGTGCCTGCGTCACCTCTGCTGACTGACAGACCCCACAGATGAGGCCAAGGACCTATGGGCAGCCCATGTTATTAAGAGCGGAGACCCCCAAAGGCAAGCGCTTGGGTGGTGTTAGCCAGCTGGTGTAGGTATGAACAGAACCACACAGATAGTTGCTAAGTATTACCTGCATGGCCTCTTTTCCTGAGTATGTGTATTATGCGTGTGAGTGAGCGTGTGTGTGTGTGCAAGTGTGCATGTGAAATGGTTTCAGGTGCCTTCTTTAACTGTATTTACCGAGTCTCTCACTGAACCTGGAACTCAACCGGGGTGGCCAGCTTACCCAGGGGCCCTTCCATCTCTGCCTCCTACACAGGTTCTAGAGATGTGAACTCAGGTCTGGACATCTGCAGGAACTATCTGATGTCTCTGCTGGCAGAAGTGGTCTCGCATCTCAGGGGCTGTCCCTCCCTTCCCTGCTGACTGGAGTGACCTCGCACCAGTTAGCTGTGGGGGTGAGTGTCAAGGAACAAGAAGTAGACTCAACCAAGACTACGTTCAACTGCTACCTGGACAACATGAGTGCTGGCAGCGAAGGACCTAGGACCAAAGGCAGAGTGATAAGTACCAGGTAGGAAAGCCCTCTGGAGCCTCAGAGTGGGGACACAAATAGCCAGGCGTGCAGCAGACAGCTCCAGAGGAGGCATCGGACATGATATGCAGCTTTGAGGAGACAATCAAAAGGAACCACAGGGTGGCCATATGCTGCCAGACAGGCCTCTCCTCCTGCTTTGACAGCAGGTCTTCATGCATGTCACAAACGTCGAGGCTGTGTGGCCTCAGTGTCCGTCTGTGAGGGAAGTGGGGGCTGGTGGCGGTGCCATTAAACCCTAGTCAGCCATCAGGAAGGCGCCGTGATTTGAGAGGGACTAACTTTCCAGGACTACCTGACGGGCAAAGAACATGACCAACCACACGGCACCAGTCGTAAGAACTGAGGCTGGCAGGAGCCAGCAGGACCCCTTGGGTTGGGCTCTGCCCCGTTGCCGCCATGTTAGGACACCGTGAAGATAGTGTGGGCGTGGGGGTGGGGAATGGAAGCAGTAAGGGAAGGAGAGGCGGCAGAGGGAGTGGGGAGGGGATGGACCATCAACCTGATGCCCGTACCCTGCTTGCCTCCTGTCACCTCCGGGCCAGCTGTGGCTCTGGACATTTTGGGTGACTCTCCCTCCCCTTCCTGGTCTCTCTCTTCCTCATTGGCTAGCCCTGCTGCTCACACCTGAGCCACAGGCAGATGGGGCTCCAGACACCCGCGGAGAAATGCCTCTACCTTGCCAGCCGCAGACTGACAGGCAGGCAGGCAGGCATGCCAGGCAGGCCATTTGTTTGGTTGTTTTCTTTGAAAGAGGCAGATTTCAAGGAGATGCACACAGGGTGTGCCTAGGCCCGCACCCAGCCCACCCTGTAGCAGACACATAGGCAAGTGGGGGCTCTCAGATTCCAAACACAGAGGAATGGTCCCCAGCCTCTTCCTCTAAGGACCTGGGTATGGGTTTCATCCACCACCCACGGTAACTTGATGCCCCTTGGTTATGGGGGCCTGCAGACGGCAAAGACTTCCGGAAAGCTCAGAGCACTGGGGATGTCTAATCAGAAGCTTAACCACTGTAAGCTACCCTTGTCACCCTGTTCCCCACAGGTGACAAAGTGGCAAACAGCCAGGTATCAGGCGGCTCTTCCACCACGTGCTTCCTGGGAAACAGGCGGCCCAAGGCCCCAAGTGTACTGGGACGGAGGGTACATACAGCGCTGGTGCTGTGTGGGCCTCCCGACGATCAGCCAGGGACATGTGGGCTCCCGGCGCAGCCCCCCCCCCCTCAGCAGACGGCACCAGGGCCCCATGGGAGATGAGCAGATTGCCACACAGCTTGGAACCCGCCTGGCAGCGCCCAGCTTCATCTCTCACGGGTGGGGGCTGTGGTGGTGGGGCTCTATAGCTCGCTCTCATAGAGGCCAGGGAGCCTGTGCTCTGAGAACCGCCTTGTGGGGTCAGGCTGGTGGCTGGAGATGGGGCTCCGGGTGGGAGTTCCCAGAGGATCCCAACACCCCTTACTCAAAGTAACTTAACAAGTCCGCCGAACACTCTGGGGGACCCTTGTCCTTCAAAGGCAGCTGGGCCAATGTCACAGAGAGACGGAAACCCCCACAGGGTATTATGACAGACAGGGCTGGTAGGAGTGCCCAATACATACAGGGGAAAATGAAATCCATGCTTAAGGGCCTCTGGGGGTGGGGCACCGCCACTCTAAGGAAAGATGGGTCCTATCCTATACAGCTGAGAAGCTGGAGCTGCCCTGCTGCCTGTCTCATGCACAGATGGACAGCTGAGCAGCCTGGGGATATTGTTCCGAGTCCGCCATAATGGGACTGGCATTAAGTAGCCAGGGGTCCAGCCAGGGGCTGGCCTGGAGTCCACAGCCCCAGTGTTCCTTCCAGAAACCAATGTAGACGGGAGGGTGCTCCCTCTGCCCTCCGTCCTCCTGGGAAGCCCAGGCACGGCACCACAGGGAGGCCAGGAGTCAGAGGACCAGCAGCTGCCTAGGCTTGGCCAGGCCAGGAGATCCACAGCAGTGGGGTTCCCACAATGGCTGACCAGAGTCCCCTGGGTATCCCCAAGTTTAGGGAGTGGGGGGTGGGGCACAGGCAGGGGCAACAGGATTGGGAAACGGCGGTGGGGACAATTGGGGAGCCCCAGAAATAGCACTCGGGAAGGCAGTCATAGGGGCTGCACTTAATTACGTGATCTATATCTGCTTTGTATGGTCTCACTAGATCAACAGGCTACCAGAGGTGGACTGAAGGCCCTGGGCAAAAGCAGAGGCTGAGTCAAGCCAACCTGTCAGGGCACAGCAAGTGACTTAACAAGTGCCAGGATGACTGGACCTTGCCGGGTGAGTCCCCAGCATCTTCTTGCAAACCTTGGCCTCAACTTAAAGACGTAGGCTACGACCCCCACACGGCTCATCTGGGTGTGATGAAGCCCACAGCCTAGGATATCCCCCATGGGGCCCCATGGAAGTCTTGGGGGAGGAGCCAGCTTCTCTTCTCTCCCCCTCTGCCTTTTCTCTCCGAGCAGAGCAAATGAGACGGCGTGCTGATTGGTTGTCTGGATTGAATTTTTAAACTGCACCCCTGAGACACGAAGAAGAGAGACGAAGAAGAGAGACGAAGAAGAGAGACGAAGAAGAGAGACG